TTAGGATGGAAGCTAAGGTTATTGATTGGATTGTTCTTGTTTTCTAAATAGTCATTTCGTGCTATAAATAGCCTCCTAAGTACTTGCTTTAGTGGCACCCACAAATTCTCATATTCGTTTCATTCTTATTCAGTTAAAAATACTTAGTATTTCCCTTCTGATTTCATCTTTGATCCATACATTATTCAGAAGTGTGTTATTTAGTTGCCAAATATTTAGGGATTTTTTTTTTTAATTTTATTTATTTGCGAGAGAGAGTGAGCGAGAGAGCGCACGCACGAGTGGGAGGGGTGGAGGGAGAGGGAGAAGCGGACTCCCCACTGAGCAGGGAGCCCGATGTGGGACTCAATCCCATGACCCTGGGATCATGACCTGAGCTAAAGGTAGACGCTTAATCCACTGAGCCACCCAGGCGCCCCAAATAAATAAATCTTAAAAAAGAAAGTATTTTTTTCTATTGCATAGCTTGTCTTTTTACTTGATAGTGTCGTTTGATACACAAATGTTTTAATTATGCTGAAGTCCAGTTTATCTATTTTTGTTGTTTTTGCTTATGCTTATGGTGTCAATGTTAAGAACCCATTGCCAATAAGGTCACGAAAATTAATCCCTATTTTTTTTTCCTGAGAGTTTTAGTTGTAGTTCTTGCATTTAGGTCTCTGATCCATTTTGAGTTCATTTGTGTATGGGATGTGAGGTAGGGATTTGACTTCATTCTTTTGCATGTGGATATCCATTTGTCCCAGCTCCATTTGTTGAAAAACTATTCTTTCTTTTTTTTTTTCTCCATTCAATACATGCCCTCTTTAATACCCATCACCAGGCTAACCCATCCCCCTCCCCCCAGAACCCTCAGTTTGTTTCTCAGAGTCCATAGTCTCTCATGGTTCGTCTCCCCCTTCATTTCTCTCTTCCTACTATTTTCTTTTTTTTTTAAACATATACTGTATTATTTGTTTCAGAGGTACAGATCTGTGATTCAACAGTCTCACACACTTCACAGTGCTCACCATAGCACATACCCTCCCCAATGTCTGTCACCCAGCCACCCCATCCCTCCCACCCCCACCACTCCAGCAATTCTCAGTTTGTTTCCTGAGATTAAGAATTCCTCATATCAGTGAGGTCATATGATCCATGTCTTTCTCTGACTTATTTTGCTCAGCGTAATACCCTCCAGTTGCATCCACGTCATTGCAAATGGCAAGCTTTCATTCCTTTTGATGGCTGCATAATATTCTATTGTGTATATATACCACATTTTCTTTATCCATTCATCTCTCGATGGATATCTTGACTCTTTCCACAGTTTGGCTATTGTGGACATTGCTGCTGTAAACATCGGGGTGCACGTATCCCTTTGGATCACTACATTTGTATCTTTGGGGTAAATACCCGGTAGCGCAATCGCTGGGTCGTATGGTAGCTCTGTTTTCAACTTTTTGAGGAACCTCCATACTGTTTTCCAGAGTGGCTGCACCGGCTTGCATTCCCACCAACAGTGTGAAAAACTATTCTTTCATCACTGAATTATCTTTGTGCTCTTGTCAAAAATCAATTGACCACATATGCAAGGATTTATTTCTGGACTCTTTTTTTTTTTTTAAGATTTTATTTATTTATTTGACAGAGAGAGACACAGTGAGAGAGGGAACACAAGCAGGGGGAATGGGAGAGGGAGAAGCAGGCTTCCCGCGGAGCGGAGAGCCCGATGCGGGGCTCGATCCCAGGACCCCGGGATCATGACCTGAGCTGAAGGCAGATGCCCAGCGACTGAGCCTCCCAGGTGCCCCTGTTCTGGAATTCTGTTCCCTTGGTCTGTACCATCTTACACTGTCTTGGTCACTGTAGCATTATATTAAGTTTTAAAATAGAGAATTTGAGTATTCCTGCTTTGTTTTCAATATTGTTTTAGCTATTTTGGGCCCCTTGCAATCCCATATGATTTTCCATTTCTGCAAAAAAGGCCATTGGAATTTTGATAGGGATTGCATCGAGTCTCTAGTTAATTATCTTTAAAAGGACTTAAATAAGGAGAGCAAGTCTTTTATATTTATTCCATAATTACAAGTTTGGTGCTTTCACTCCTCCTAAATCTGGATTTCCATCTGGTATTGTTTTTCTTCTGCCTGAAGGATTTTATTTAATGTCTGTAATGCAGGTCTGTAGGGGATAAGTTCTTTCAGCTCTTGTCTGAACTCCGTTTGTGGAGTTTTCCCTGGGTGTAGCCCTCTTGTTAATAGGTTTGTTTTGTTTTTACAAAGTGGTTCCACTGTTTCCTGACTCGTCGGAGAAATCTGCTGTCATCTCGTACTTGCTTCTTTTCTCTGGGTGATTTTAGTGTGTCCTTTGCTTCGCTGGTTTTAGGCAATTTTGTGATACGCCTTGGTGTAGTTTCTCTCATCGCGCTAGTGCTCAGGGGTGGACGAGCTGCTACCATCTGTAGATTTATAGTTTCTATCAAATTTGGAAAATTTTGAGCCATTATGGTGTTCAAGTACTTAGTTTACCCTCACCCTACCCCTTCCCTGGGACTCTAGTTACCCATGTTTGACCCCAGCTCACTCTGCTCGCTCTGGTTTTTCAGTCTTTCTTTCTCTGTGTTTTGTTTTGGGTAGTCTTGGTGCTGTTTCTTCAAGCTTCCTAGTCTTCTGTGGG